TTTAAGAAAATTTTATTGTGCAGAGACTTTGACTCGTACAACTTTATCATAGTAATTCATATCTTTTTATTGTTTTCTTCTTTACTATACTTAATAATACTTCATCAGCTAATGCTAAATGTATGTTAGTAATAACATTGTCATCCATCTCATTCTATTTTACATCATCAGTGATCTTTACCCATAAATATTGAGCCTTCAGAGATGGTTCATATGTATAGAATCAATCTCAATGAAGAGTCATATGTTATGTTGCTCTTGAATCCTTTAACCAAACCTCAATAAGTTTTCTTTCTATTTATAGAGATTGTCGCTACTTCATTATATAATACCTCCTCATCTTTTACGGTGCTTGCAACACATCCTTAAAATTTTGATAACTTTGCAGTGTTCTCTATACCTTTTTTAAACCAATAATTCCTTTTGAAGTGCTTTTTTCTGCCATAATTATAGCATTTAACAATCTTTTTATTTTTTAATTTGGACCTTTTTTGCATTTGACTTCCATTAGAGCTATGCTCCGTTGATATTCCTCTTGACATCAACAATGTCTTTACTTGGTTTGAACTATTTTTGTCTTCTTTGTTTGTGAGCCTATTTTCTTCTTTCAAGATTATGGCTGCAATATCATTGAAAACTAAATAGTCTGAAAGGATATTATTTATCAAGTTGATAATGAGCTAACTATATAAATTAGACAGACTTTTAAGTAAAAGCTTTGCACATTTATTTTTCTTTATTTGTTGACCCAACATAGTGGGTTGTGAAAATAAAGTTCTTATTGTGTTGATGTAGTCAGTTAAAACATGGTTTCTATCATTTGAAAGGTATAAAGTCTTCATTTTAAGAAAATCTTATTGTGCAAAGACTTAGACTCATACAGCTTTGTCAGAATATCTCATATCTCCTTAGTTGTTTTCTTCTCCACTACACTTAATAATACTTCATTTGTTAATCCTAAATGTATGTTAGTAATAACATTTTTATCTATCTCATTCCATTTTGAATCATTAGTGTATTTCCTTAAAATTGCCTTGATTCTCATTTTTCACAGTGAGAAATTGCTTCATTTGAACCTCTCAATTATAGTTATTAAACCCAAACCAGCCCAACGAGTTGACTCGGGACCCAGTCGACTAGGTGGCTGGACTGGTCTGGGTTTGTCAAAAGACCGGATGGTGCAATGATCCGGTCGACCTAACAGGTCGACCCATGACCCGGGCGAGACCTGATGCATTTTTTTTGGTTTTCAAATGTAGTTTTTCTCCTATACACTCTTTTTTATATTTTTTTAGTTGGTTATTAATACTTTTTAAAGTTCACTTTATAAATATTAGAAAAGTGTTTAATTTTTTCAATGTGAAATTTGAAACCTTTTAATATATGTACTCTATTTTCCAAGATAAAATTTATTTTTTTAATGTGAGATTTGAAACCCTTTTGTATATATACTCTATGTTCATAAGAAAAAAAAGTTATGTCTTTTCAATGTGGGATTTGAAACCCTTTAGCATATATATTATATGTTATCAAGAAAAAAGTTGTTTTTTCAATATGGGATTTGAAACTTTTTCGTATATATACTCTATGTTCACCAGAAAAAAATTATGTTTTTTCGATGTCAGATAAAAAAAAAATTTAGTTTAAATACTTTAACTTAAAAGGATACCATAATATCTTTTCAATGTAGGATATATATTATGTCCACAAGAAAAAAGTTAAATACTTCAACTTAAAAGCATAAAATAGTATCTTTTCAATGTGGGATAAAAAACTTTTAAAATATTTTTTAAAACTTTATTATTTACAACATATATAAACTATATTTACATATATTTTTTCTTAATTTTTTCATATGAAATATTAAAACTTAAAAAAAAAATTATTTTTACTTATTAATCCAGGTTAACCCGAGTTGACACAGATTTACTCATGAAACTCGAGACTCGATCCCTTAGTTAGGTCAACCCCTAGGCCAGGTTTGATAACTATACTCTTAATCTCCTACTTTGTTGTTATTTTATTCACCGTGATTTATTCAGCCATCACCGTTTCAATAATTTGTAACATATACAAAAATAATATCGTGTGAATAATACTTAACTGAGTAAGTTCCCATGAAATATTGAAGGGGTCATAAACAGTCCTGCTTAAAGCTCAGTCTCCTTAGACAGAACTTTCTATGTTGTATTTAATCACCATATTGACTTTTTTTATATGCCATTAGTAATGTATGTGAATAGTACCATATGGATAAATAGTGTCGTATAGGTGAATAATGTCGTAGACATGAATATTAACCATATGCACAAATAGCTTTTATGTGTTAACAACACCAACCCAAAAGCTCTAATACCACTATTAAGATACTAGCATGTAAACTCAACAAGACAAAAGGTAGGGGACATAATAAAATGAGAAATGAGACACACAATAATTTATGTGGTTTACCTAAATTTGGCTACGTCCACGGGCAAGTATAAAAGAATTTTACTAATTAATGTGGGAATTACAACCTCTCTTTACTAATAGGAGAACAATTGAGAATCTCTCTATTAATAGGAGAAAATACCTCACTTACTCTCTCACAGATTCCTTACAACTTTGTGGGATCACTTTCCTTTGTACTTTCTCTTACTTTTCTCTTATGGTGCATCTTAAAGTTTGGATGTATTGTTTATTTATAGGCAAATATCCTTGTCTTTGTCTTGTAAAAGACATAAGGCATTAACTAAATTGGTGCTGCAAGTAGCACTGAATTGGTGCTTATTGACTTAGAAAGCACCAATTAATGTCTAGTTGACTTTATATTTGAACTATATAGGAGTTAGCTTTTTGCGCATAAGAGGAGAAAAGAGAAGTTGTTATCCTATAATGAAAGTTAGTTTGGCTAATTTGCAGTGAAGAAGATGTATTAGTGGAGGCAGATCATAAAAGGAGCGTCTTTGAATGATTTGGGAGTTAAGGTTTGTGTATGGGGAGAAGACAAGTTTTTATACTTGTTTTCTTTTTATAGTAGAGTTTTATTTAGGTTGAATCATTTTGGTTTGATTTGATTCAATCGGTTTTATACTTGTTTTCTTTTTATAGTAAAGTTTTATTTTGGTTAAATCATTTTAATTCGATTTAATTTAATTGGTTTCATAATTTTGAAATCAAAACCAAACTAGGCCAATTTTTTTAATTTTCTAATCAATCTATTTGGTTTTTTTAGTTTGGTTTTTTTAGTTTGGTTTTTTGTATTAATTTTTTTTCTCAATTTAATTAGTTAGTTATTTTAAAAAAAAATATTTACCCTGGTTTAAAGTTTAAACAAAATGAAAACTAAGAGATTTTTAATCTTGACATAGAAAAACCGCCTCGATATTTTGTTTGTATCTTTTCCAGAGTCTAAATTCTATAATTGATTCCCAAAACCATTTTCTTTTTTCCTTGTGCACATACATGCATTTATTGTATTCTGATTAACACCAGCAATCCTCTTATATTTAATTAAATTTAACATTTAACCCGTTTCATCAATTAGTTCCAGCTAGGTTTCATCCATTTCATTACTTAGATGTATACCAAGTAATGATGCACGCATTTCTCCTCGGCAATGTAAAGGTGTAGGGTAATTAAAAACAATGTCCACTTAATCTTATAAAATTATGATAATATAAATCACAAAAACTTTAATGTAAAATACGAATTGGACCGAATTTAATATAAGGTGGGTCATAAATGTAATGCAAAGGTGTTCCTACAAATTAATATTTAACCTTTATGAACACATGCAATGAATGTGAAATTACCTAATTAATTGCTGAGAAAAAAAGGAGGTGTTTTTGTATTGAAATTGTGAATTAAGGAACTAAATTAAGTCGTATAGTAATTTGATAAAGATTGAGCTATGATGATTTCATATGGCCAGGCCTTGTTGCCTCCCTCCTTATCATTTCCACCACTACTTTCTTCTGGGTCTGTTAACATGAAACAACATTTATTTAGGGGAAAGGACTCCATTGTTGAGCTAGTTGTGCCCAATGAAAAGTTATAGGGCTACACCAAATCCTTCAAGAGCATTGTCTGCTGGAATTTATACTGTAATTATTATTGTTTTTGTTTTTATGATTTAAAAACATTTTTTAAAAATTATATTTTTTGATTTATTTTAAATTAATATATTTTTAGTATTTCAAATTATTTTGATATGTTAATATTAAAAATAATTTTTTAAAAATAAAATATTATTAATATATATTTTAATATAAAATATTATTTAAAAAATAACCATAATCATTAGCAATATTGCGGGGACTGAACATTTTAAACCCAGTGCATGATTTTATTATTATTATTATTATTTTATGTTAGTGCCTGATGTAGCCCTAAACCTTCATGCAAAAACCTTATAGAGGTAACTATAGATGTGTAGTGTTTTTTCTATATTTCTTGTTTTTAGAAATATATAATTTTTTTTTTGTTCCCGTATGCATCTCTTAAACAAAAAAAATTGTAATATAAGTTTGTTGAAATGAAATTTTTTGTAATTTATCAATTACCATGTTAATTATATGTCCGAAACCTAGTAAATATACATAGAAAATAGATTTAAAATACTCAAGGTAAGAAAAAAATATATTAATTAACCTCCAATTAAATGTTTTGAAAATATATTAATTAAGATATAAATTGTTTGTCTGAAACTATATAACAAAATGATATGAAAGTAGATTTGAGAATACCCAGGATAATGAAAAACTTAATGCATGTACTTATACAAACCTTTAATCAAGTGTTTTTACTCTTATTTTTTATATTATTTCTCTGTTTTTATTAATTAAAAAAATTATTTTTATTTTTCTATTTGAGACAATGTAGTATGTATCTCCACTTATTTCTTTAATTGTGTAGCTCTGAATTAATTTATGTTTTTTTTTTAATCTAGGATTGATCGGGTCAACCTGTCTGCTAACATACCGAGCCGGTCCAAGTTTAATTTAACTGTGGTAAGAACACCTTAACCCTAAACTACACACACAGGAAAAGAAGCCCCTCACTTCCCTCGTTCGTCACTGGCCACAAACTCTTTCTCTCTCTCGGGATTCATTCTCCGTGCCAAAAGAGCAGCACTTTCCTCTGCTCAACAAAGCTACCAATAAGATTTAGGAAAGTATTGAATTCTTGTTATCGGTCAAAGAGTTGGCTATTTTTCTTTAATTATGCAAATACCCAGATGGAGAAACGTGTTGATATTCAAGAATTCATTGGTACCAGCTTTATCACAATCAATAACTACAAAGACCCATTTTGCTTCAATTCATTCTACACCTATTACATGTGATAAACGGAAGAGCAAACGGGACGGTGTGAATGTAAATTTCTTTTCTTTTTTGCTGCTTTGCTTCTATGTGATAAAAGTTTAGATTTTTCAATGAATGGCGGGAATGTTTTGTGTGTTTTTGTGATCCAATTAAAGGGTAGCTGTGATGATGGTGAATGATGAGCTAGCTACATAGTGTTAGTTTTTGTGTCCTTTCTGAAATTCAAGATTGAGACTTTATGTTTAGCTTGTTGCTTTTTACTCACAAGTCATAATGGTTTAGCTGAATTCTACTGATAGACACCTATTTGTATCGGATTGGAACCCATCTTTGTTGTATTGTGAACCAATGTTTTGAATGTTGGAATTTGGGAGCTATGGGACTGCAGAAAGGTCACTGTGATTTAAGTGGTCTTGTTCTATGTCCCATTCTATGAAGTGTTGCTCTTTTTATTTGGATTTAAAGAGGTGAAATGAGAGGAAAGTTAGAGTCTGAGATTGAGGAGGAATAAAAAAGAGATGAAGCTCCTTCAAGGTATGGCATTCACTGGTAGTGAAGGGATTAATAGTAAGGAGGGTTTCAGGGGATTAAGCTTCTTGAACCTGTACCGATATTGTAAAAGAATTATCAAGCGCAACAGACTTGGAGTGTCTTGTTAGTGTTAAGCCATAGTAGCCATGATCTGTGGCTGTTTTGTTTTTTCTTTTTGGTTGAAAGGACCCCCATTTGATGCTTTGGCTAATTGCAGATGGAGGCAACACTTGATGCTCTGAAAGAATTATTAAGTGCAACAGAGATGTCTTTTTTCCTTCTCCGAGTTACCTTTTTCCGATTTAGCACCAAAAGAACCAGAAAACATTTTTCAAATAAAGCAACCGAGGGATGTTTGCAGAGTTTGGAACGAGCAACTGCAACAACCATAAGCAAGCTTTAATTTTTTTAACTGGCTGTGAGGAAAGTTGTTTTTCTAAAACTAACATATAGTACCAGAGAGTACTAGATAGTTTACTGATTGGATGAGGTTAGATTATTTTCTAAGAAAAGTGATGCATGAGAGGTTAGATTTGCTCTTGTATAATAGCCCCTGAAGTCTGAACCACACATCATTGGGTGGGGAGAAAACGTGAAGTTTGGCAATTCAATAAAATGAATCGTATATGACTTATGACCTTGAGTTGAAATTTGGAAAGGAAAGGTTTTCCTTGAGTTGTATTTGATTTAGTGGAAAATTTCTAGCAGTACAGAATTTTCTTTGAGCTGATTATATCTAAGGTGGAACAATTTCTAGCAGTGCTAACTTGAACTCAAAAAATAAATCTTCAACTCTTCAGCTACTCTAGACTTGAATGAAATTTCCAGAATTCCGATGGATTCTGGTGAGATGTTGACAATTCTGTTCTCCAGCCAAAAACTGTTGCCTACAACTCCCCCTTGTTGCACATATTTCTATAGAGCAAGTCTTTCATCATGCATACTTTAGCTTACTGTTTCGAGAGATATGTTGATCCCCATGAAAGAGACATAGTGTGTTCTTATTTTTCCCCATGGAAGTAATGAGAGTTGCCCATGCCTCTAATAAGCTGCTAGAAGTATATTTCGGGTTCTCTAGTTAGGGAGCATCAGCTGGACAAGACAAATATTTTGTATAAGAAACCGTTTTAAATCAGAATGTTCCTTTTCTAGTTTTGTGAACATACTGGGCCTTATGAAACAGAGAGATGATTAGTTTATGGTGTACTATTTCTCTTTGTATTTAATTTCTTTATTAGATGTAAGTTAGAGATTCATCATTGTTTTGTCAATTTTTTTTTTTTTATATCCTATTGTTTATTTTCTTACAGCTTTCTGGATACTAATGTTTGCTGATGAGAAAGACTGACATTTTTGCTTGGCCAGGATGAAAGAGGATCTCAACAACCATCTAAGGTGAAACTTGTCTGCCACATCTGGTCAACAACATATGTTACCTTTTATTTCCCAACAAAAATATCTAGATATTGAAAGTTTACATTTTACATAAATTTTGAAGGTCATAAAACCTTTCCATTGTCTCCTATCTTAACAAGATTTTCTTTTTACTTTTTATGCACTTCCCATCTTCCATCAGTTTATTGTTTATACATTTACTGCTCTTTTTGAAAAATAAAGTTTGTGACATGCAAATATAACCTCAGGCTTACATAAGATATTCAATACGCCAAAAACCCTCTGCTGCAAAGAGAGCATTGCAAGGCCTTCTGTACAATAGTGGAGTTTCTAGAAGTTCATATCAGGTAAAAAAATTTGTTGCTTTTACTGAATTAATACAACTCATCAGTGCAAACTGCATTATTGCATTTATGTCTTATGCAGTATCTTAGTTAAAAACTCTATAAACATACATTCAATCAATCTCTATAACTTAGTTTCCACAGTTAGCCTAGATTGTTCTAAGAAGTCTTTGGTCTGACTGTATATTGCATCCAGTTTATGGATTTGCTGAAAGGATCTTACTTGACAATTTGACAACAAGTGAATGGATATGATCAACGCCTCCCTGCTATGGACCTGCTTTTCTAGTTTCACATCTAAATCTAACTCAAATTCACCTAGTCAGTTAATTAAGGGGTGGCATTATCATATCGGTATGTTTTGTTGGAATGACAAGCCAAATCATGGATCTGATTCTCTGTTATTCTTGACTAGAAACAAAAGCCGTGAAATGTTCCCTGTTCATTTAGTTTTAAAGCATATGCATTTTCATTGAGATGGGGGCATATATTTCATCCTTTAATTCACATTTTGTTCTCTATTTTGCTGGTCGAAGGTTTCAATTTACTTATTTTGGAAGGGATACACTCACTGATTTGCATTTTTATCCAGCATATAGAACCTATACAGTCATTTGATGCAGAGCCATCAGTTGGTTCCAGAAAAAAGAAATTGAAGGCTACTGCTCAACGTGCTAAGAAATATCACCAAGACAGAATGAGAAGTGAGCCATTTCTCATTCTTTTACTTTTTTCCTTTTGTTTATTATTTGTAGCTATAGTATAATGTGACTTCCACGCTTGTCACAGAGGGATGAGAAGGAAAGTGGGCAGTGTTCTCCCAAATACTTCTCAAATGCTGTCATTCTTCCATTCCTTTTATGTTACCACATGGAAGTTCTAACTGGCTTCAAATAAATTGGAGAATGAAGAAAATACTTACCAAAATGCCCAAATCATCCTACATGGTGAACTATCCGAAGCAAGCGTACAGGAGTTTTATATTGTAATTTAATATGACTAAAAAGCTGCAAATTTTCATGACGTCAGTTAAGGTTTGCATTAAAACCTTTGGTGGTATTTTATCATCTTAGGATTCATGATTCATCCATCCACAGCTCTCATGGACTGTAATGAAACAATTTGATTTGGTTGAGCTTACCTGGATGCATTCTGCATTTGTGAATATTGTTGTAGTTTATTAGATCTAATACTAAAGTTTGATCTTCACCTGTATGCGCAGCCTAGACTATTTACCATGATTAGGGGCATTCAAAAGTTTATATTTTTGTATAAATGGGAAAATACAGACTGAGAAATTCATGTTACGTTTCTCATTTAGTCCTTGAGGTGAGACCAGGCAATGGAGAAGATCATGGTTGAAACTGAGCTGTTATAGGTTCAATGTGTTAGTTACGCACAGAATAATGGCTTCTTCCTGCATATGCATTTTACAAACTGGACTGCTGACTTCATCAAATGTTCAGGTAAGCTAAGAAGAGAGAGTTTCTCAGATGACTTTGGTGACCCCGAGACAATTTCTCGAGCTACATTCAAAAACAAACGGTATACGAGGTCTAATAAGTCTTTCAGAAGTGAACCATCTGGATTTGAGTGGAGAGAGCCTCTGAAGTGGAAGAATCAAAGATACAAAGGATGGAATGCTACTAGTGAAACAGAGTATGACAATACTTCATATTCTGTAGGATCACATTCTGACAGAACAATACTTGGTCTGCCTCCAACTGGACCTCTAAGGATTGAAGATGTGAAGAATGCGTATGTGCTTTTGTGCTTTTCTTGACCATAAAAGGAAGCATCCTTTCGATATTTGATTTTCAGCAAGTTTTCTTCATTGCACCATTATTGATCATTTATATCTTTTTAATAATGTTTGCAGTTTCCGCCTCTCAGCTTTAAAATGGCATCCTGATAAGCATCAAGATGCTTCACTGGTCAGTTGAATTCATGTTTAGTTTTTGTTCCTCGTTACACCTTGTCGTTTCTTGATCAATCAGGATCATTGCCCATCTAGAAGCAGGATATGTTATCATATCCTCATCGCCCCACTTTCTGATGATTACAAGGCACACCTTTATTTATTATTTTGATTTATAAGTCGTGTGTTTAGAAATGCTAGGGTTTTTATTTTTTATTTTTTATTTTAAAAGAAAAATTAGAAAGGTTCGAGTTTCTCAAATTGAAAATAGAATAACATTAAATGCCTCCAGGCTCAGTTGTTTTCATTTCTTTTTTTTTCGGGTTCTTCTGTGAAGTTATTGAATTAGCCTGTAATCAAACAAAAACATGATATATCATCAACCTAGCAAAACAGTTTGCAGAGAACCAAATTTTTGAAACATCTTGAAACGTGTATCTGGCTCAACCATGACTGGTATTTGTTAGCTTAAAACTTTGGTTTCTTTTTTCTTATGTTTTATCCCCTTGAGCACACTTCTTTTCATGAATGTTTGCAGGCACTCGCTGAAGAGAAATTCAAACTTTGTGTTGACGCATACAAATCAATATGTGAAGCTCTCGCCTGAGTTAAAGCACCAGGCTGCTACTGGAATCCATACTGTTTCTTTAGTCTCTCAGCAGCAATGATGGAGAAGAGGTGTACTATATCATTTATTTATACTTTTTGTTCACAATAGTATGGGCACTAAATCCTCTCTTTTTTCCACTCTACTGATCAATTCCTTAACCCTTTTTCAATAGGAAGGGTTCAATTTGAGATTTCGATCGCATTAGATTAGTGGATGCTGGTGGGTTTTGGTTTTACTTCAATCCATTATTAAAAGAGAGAGAGAGAGAGAGAGGAAGGGTTTGGATTGCTTGGACCAGATTTGACATTACACTGTTTAAAATTACTTAAACATACAATGAAACTCACATAATAATTCTTTTCATATCATTTTCCCTTGCTAGTTCCTGCAGTTCAAAAAGCTGTGGGAAATTTATTCATTTATCTACTATTGAGCAAGAGTAGTTGTAACTGGTTTGGTTTGGAGATAATTAACAACTTCCCCCGGAAATGAGCACTGTAATAGTTTAAATGTTTAGGCGTGAAACACAAGCATCCGTGAAAGCTTGCCAGCTCTACCCAAAAATTGCTCCTGCCCTGGATCACATGCTCTGTAAATGGGAACTAAAGACAGTAGAGCTTGAGTTTCAGTCATGTCCTATTTTCAAACCAAGTATAGTGCTAAACACATGCAAAACTTGGTCATTGAGGATACAAGTATCATTGTATTGTAGTACCGTTTTCAACCATCCAAGCATGCAAAGGTCACGGTAGCTTGAGTTTTTCAAGCCCTCCTCTTAAAAAGCTTTCTTTCTCCAGTATTTGGCTGAGCTTGAAGGATTTTTATAGGGACCATCAATGAATCTTGAGGATCTCAATTTCAAGTTAACTAGATTGTTCTGCGTAGGCTTTCATGCTTGTGCTCTGATCTACCTTGCATGACACAATATGTATACTATGACCGTAGTTGAAATATATAAATTTGGGATAATGCGGATAAAATTAATAGTTTAGTGGATGATATGTTTCCTAGAAAAAAATCTTGAAGATTCATTTTATTAACATTAAAATAGACTGAAATGGCTCTCACTTTCAATTTATCTCTATAAACGTAACACCATTAGCCTTGAAAGCAAATATATAATAGTGTTCTGTCATATATTGAACAATAAAATAAATAATATGCTCCTAGAGACAACATAAATAAATAAACAAATAAATTATACACTGGCGGGCAGTGGTAAAATTTTGCCTTTTACTTATTATTTGCAATGTAAAATTACCACAAAGCCCTTAAATGAAAATTGTTTTTGTTTTAAGGATAGGGATTTTTATTTTTTTTGGTCTTTTTAGCATTTTTTTTTTGTAACTATTGATTAATCACGTATAATTTAGTATTTTGACATTAATAAAATATTATTTAACAAGAAATGCTGGGTGAGCATGGGTTCTCTCGTATTCTTTGAATAACACACACCGTGTTATCTAATTACCAAACTCCAGATTATTTTAATTCTCATTATTATTTTTAGGTAATGTGTGTGGCAAAAATATGTTGGGTTCTTCGCTCTTTTCTCTTCCTTGATTCTAGAGCCAACCCTTGTATAATTTCAAAATAATTCTTCAATTTATTTATTTTTTATATTTGATTTATATTTTTTATTAGTATTTGTTTTATTTTAGATTATCCATAAAATTTAAAATTTCTTTTAATTTAATAATCCTTTGCTTTTTTCAACTTTCAGATTTGCCCTTATTCTTTTAATTTTGATTTTTTTAAAAAAATTATTCTCTTAATTAAATTATATTTTCAATTACATCTCTTAATATTTTATATTATTCTCTTAATTGAATATTTTTTGCAATTGTGCCCCTTAATATTTTATATCACTCTTAATTGAATTATTTTTTCAATTGCATCCTTCAATATTTTAGTTCATTTTATTTTATGCTAAATTTAGTCTTTATTTTTTATTACTATTTGTTTTGTTTTTAATTTTTTTTATTCAAACTTTTCTTTTTAGTTTCATCCCTTAGTATTTTATTGATTAGGATTTTGTTAACCTTTCAAGTCATATGTTTGAAAAATTGAACCAAGTTAGCTTAGATTTTTTCAGACCTTTTTTTATAATTGATTTTTGCTAGTATCGTCCTTCAATACAATTATCACAATCTTGTGTGTCAAGTCATGAATTTCACGTATTAACCTAGCTTTGTCCCAAGCAATTTTTAATAAATTTATTTGTTGTTGTTTCCTTATTTTTATCATATTATGAAATAATCAAGGTTTAACCCAATTATCAAATTTCTCCTACTTCTTTAAATATATATATTTGTTTTTGAACTTGTTTTTTTAGGTTGAAAAAAAGTTTAGTCAGGCTAATGGCATCACTTGGACCACCAATCTATTATATATTAAAAATCCTTGGCACTTCAATATAACAATAAATAGCGAAATACTAAAAACTTTTTCACTTTGATCCTTAAAGAGTGAAAAAGCCTTCGATATTTTTGAGAACTTTTTATTTATTTCATCCTCCTAGCATTGGATTTATCAGGTATTTGGGCATTTGACACCATAATTTATTTTGATTTTCTTTTCATAGAGTCATTCTAATTTCATGACGAGTTAACTATTGACTCAGGTTTTTTTTTTTATCATTTTTATAATTAATCTCTTTCTCAACTTCATTCTTCGATATTAAGTCGATTCAAAATTAAGTTTTATAATTATTTTCTTATTTAATTTGTATGGAATTATCACCATCTCATGATTCAGATTGTAAGTTTTATTGGTTTGCCAGGTTAACTTATTTTTTTCTTTTTTTAATTAAATATTTTTTTCTAATTTCATCCTTCAACATTAGGTTGATTGGGGATTTGACTTTATATTTTTTTAATTTGCTTTCTATGAAGTTATTCTGGTCTCTTAACCTGAGTTTGACAATTTAACTTGGGTATATTCGAGTCAATTGTTTTGTTCTTTTTTATTTATTTCTTCAATTCAATCCTTCAATACTAGGTTGATTGATAATTGAAATTCATATTTATTTTTATTTGCTTTTTATATGGTTATCACAGTCTTATGATCTAATCGAGGATGAGGCCGATTGACTCCTTTTTTTGTGATTTTGTTTTTAAATTTATTATTCAATATTGGATTGATTGAGATTAAACTTCATAATTTGTTTTGATTTGTGTTCTATGAGGTTATCTTGGTCATGACTCAGGTCACAGGTTTGTTGATTGATTCACGGTGACTTAGGTGGTTTTTTGTATATTTTTTTTAATTTCATTCCTTAATATTGGATTAATTTGGAATTGAGCTTTATAATTTGTTTCAATTTATTTTCTATAAGTTTATCCTCATCTCATGACCTGGGTATAACATGTTAACTCAGGTTGACTCAAATGATTTTTTTAGTTGAATTTTATTTTTAATTTCATTATTCAATATTAAGTTAATTGATAATACAATTTAATAATTATTTTTTATTTGAGTTTTATAAGGTTATTAGGGTCTCGCAACTTGGATAGTAGATTTAACAGATTAACTTGAATTGATTTGAGCTGATCTATTATGTTACTGTTTTAATATTTAAAAAAAGATATTACCTTAATTTTTTAACCAAAGTATATTTTTACTAATTATCCGAGTTGTTTTTGAACCTACTAAATTAATTAGATCACATCAAGTTAGTCTTCATGTGTGTGGGTATTTTTTTCCCGGTTAAAAATACATTAACAACATCTAAATATTGTATTTACATCAAGAAAAACTTGATCTAAATTTTTTTGAAAATCTGCAGCATAATGCTGGTAATTATCTAGTAGAAGTGTAAAAGTACTCCATCTTTACCAAATCCGCAGTGGGTCACTGTGAAAAATAAAACACTACATTATTCAATTTTATTTGGATTTGGTTTAAAATTGAAGATTATATTTTAAAAATAACAATCTTCAATTCTTCTTTAAAAACTAATAAGGGGCTGATGCATGAAAGTGTACATATTAGTTGAGGATTATCTGGAACATTATTGTGATTTTAACACTACATTACTTTGTTTTATAACCTGTCCCATGAAGAACATTTGATTTTTTTATATATATAAAAGAAAAACCAATTATTTTCACTAATCTAGCCGAGACCAAGATCTAAGCCAGGCAGAATATTATAACTGGAGGATTATTATAAGAGCAAAAGAAAAGAATAGTTGAAACTGGAGGACTCGTCTCCGATTTTTTTAGGATAGTTGCTGGCTGACATGAATGAGGATTTTGTCAACTCTCCAGTGCCTCACCAACTTTATATAGAAATTTGTATTGGTAGTTGGAAAAATAAATTAAAATTTGAGGATACTGATGGAGATTTTATACATTCACAATATTTTTATTTAAAAATATATTAAAATAATATTTTTTATTTTAAAAAATTTATTTTTAATATTAACATGTTAAAACAATTAAAAAAATATAAAAAATAATTTAAAACAAAAACAAATTCACTGCGCTTGATTTTGAACGGGTAGTTTTCCTCTTCCATTCAAATTTCAAAATCGAAATAAATCAATACAACTGCATATTCATAGATAAACTAATGAGTTTCGTACATTTTACTGTATTCATTTTCTCTGACGATGTTCAGCAGTCCAGGAAAAAAGTTACAGACTTTCGTCTTCTTGATTTCACATCAAAAGGGGAGTAAGAAAATGTTGCAAAAAGTATTCATAGAATACCTCTGAAGGTGGTCAAAAAGCCCAGGAACGACCTCCTAGTATCTTTGAATGTCAATAAATTAATTAATTGCAAGGTTAGCACAGTAAATATTGTAGTTTGAGCGAGTTGATTCAAGATCCAGCTCGGATTAGGTTTTAAGAAAACCAAATGAGCGTTTAACTAATTAAACTCTACACACTTTGATAATCAGGTCAAAATATTCTTTTTTTTCTTTTCAGAACAACAATACTTTTAGTTTTTATTTTAATAAATTAAAACATCATTTTGATCACTTTATTAACCCAAAGTCGGGTTTAATGACTTTGGCACTTGGAACTCTCTTGTTTTTTTTGTTTTTTTTTTCGTTGCATAAAAAAGAGAAATCCTTTAATCAATATGAAACCAATAAGATTCCCAGAATTTTACACTATTAGATTGTTATAAATAAAGAGGAGATCCAGATTGACATTGAAATCAAGAATTTCATTTTCACACATGGAGACAAATTCTTTCTTACATCAAATTCTTGAAAGTTGAGGCTAATCTCTTGGACAACATCCTCAGACTAAGCTAAGACTACCAGAAACCGGTCTTGAACTAAGCACCTAGAACTCTTTTCCAAAACCAGGAAAGCTAGCTAATAACAAAGAAGAACAACGGAAGAAGATACCATG